TTCATGATAAAGTCTGGGCTCCTCAGTGTAGCTTTCAAGGTTCTCCATGTTCTGGCTTCTGCCTATCTCTCCAGCATTACTCTCTGCCCGCTATCATATTACTTAAAGCACTCCAAAGCAAGATGATGTCTCTTATTTATGTACCTTTGTTCCAGCTGTACACTCCACCTAAAATATCCAATTCAGCCTGTCTACTTCCTCCACCTCTGTAAACTTGGGCGATTTTTTCTTATTTTTTGAGGACAGCACCAGGGTAGAACTTAACTACTCCCTCTTTAGTGCCCTCACTCTATAGAACTCAACCAAAGCACACAAAAGACTTTATTACTACATTTAATTGTCTCTTCTCTAGAGTACTGAAATTGCTTTAATGGCAGAGATAGGTGCCTTATATATACCTTTGCATCTCTAACACCTACGAAATCTTCAGAAATACTCTTAAGGTAATTGATGTTATATATCAATTTATGGAGCAAGAAGCTAACAAGTTAAATGACTATACGTTTCATTTACACTTCAGAATTCTTTTGATAATTCTAACCTGCTATAAATGTAGACACTGCTTTATTTTAGTGAGTGGCCTACTAAAAATAACATTAGAAATGCATGTACTGCCTAACTTAAATATTAATTTTCCAAACAAAACTGCCATAAATTGACTTTATAAGTTTCACTCTTCCTCAAATAGGTGAACTTAATCCACTAATATCAAGTTTAGGTTACTTTTATCATTACTATCAGAATGAGAGCTGAGTCAGTGGTATAATAAACACTTAGGAAGTGAGTGGTGTGAATGGCAGAAGGCAGGCGGGCACTGGTGGTGGCAGTGACGAGTATGGAATTAAGAGAGAATGGCATAACAGACTGTGGTGCAAGGAGACAGTAGCTCCTTGAAGACAGTTATGACAGCAAGTGATAAGGGGAACAAATGTGGATTTGGGGCTTGGGGGCCAGAATTAAACTCCGTGAGAATTATAAAATATCAAGGAGACCTCTAACATCAGAAAACAAGTTAAGAGCATAGTTATGGTATGCGAGATTCAACATATGCAGTTAGGTATAAGAATAATACAGAAGTTCCTCCTCCTGCCCCGCCAAAGTCAGAATTTGGACACAGATGTAAGATTTCATAAAATCAGAAGCAAAGCTAATTTTAAGCTGAGCCACTAAGGTCAGTAGCCCAGGGTTGGTTAGATCCCTCTAAGGTACCCTGTGTAGGCTGAGTCTTCACTTGGATAAGGAATGGGCCCAGTTCTAGAAATTTAGTGGCAAAAAAGTATTAAAATTATAAAACTTAGGAACCTAGTTAAAAAACAAACTCTTACCCTCCTAGAGTTACAAAAGGCAGCTAGAAATACAAACTTAATAGTTATGCTTCATTTTATAATATTAAATTATAACTATTATAAAGAATATTATGCCCTAGCTGGTTTGGCTCAGTGGCTAGAGCATCAGCCTGTGGACTGAAAGGTCCCAGGTTCGATTCCAGTGAAGGGCATGTACCTGGGTTGCGGGCACATCCCCAGTAGGAGGTGTGCAGGAGGCAGCTGATCGATGTTTCTCTCTAATTGATGTTTCTAACTCTCTATCCCTCTCCCTTCTTCTCTGTAAAAAACCAATAAAATATATTAAAAAAAGAAAACTAATATTTTATGTAACTTTATTATATTGCCCAAAAGAACTTCTGAGCTCACAGATACTTAAAGTATTATAAAAATGGATCCTTAGGAAAAAAATCTAATTCCAGAAGAGAACCAAGATGGCGGCATAGGTTAACGCCGGAGTTTGCCGCCTCGAACAACCATTTCAAAAGTGAAACTAAAAGACGGAAGGGACATCACCCAGACCCACAGGAACGCTGGCTGAGTGGAAGTCCTACAACTAGGAGGAAAGAGTAA